TAATTTAAGAAAGATCTGTAAGCACTGAGTATAATCTGCTTTACTGCATTTTGTGAAACCATTTCCACACCATCTCACCAATGCAAAAATCAGTATCTCCAAAGATGCACTTAGTTTTCTATTGACAGTAGTTTAGCGTTGAAAGAACTATGCACACACTGTTCAGGCTAATCCCCAAAATACAAAAGTTCTGCTGTTCACAAGAGTCTTTCAGCTACTGGCAATAAGATTCTTTGAAAAAAACCAAAACAATCCCCAAACCAAACCAACTCCCCCCTCCTGACCAAGGCACTAGTCACATTGTTGAGATGAAGACCAGAACTTTCCTTCTGCTCAAGCTTAACTTCTGAACACTGGCTGTAATTATGGCTTAAGTTGCAGCTGAAATGATTATGTACTTAGGAGTTGAAAATGTAAATTAAATTCTATGTCAAAAGCTTTCCAACAGAAATACGGACGTTTTAAAGCTACCCTACAAGACCCTGGAAAAACTCCAACCAAACTAACAAATTTGATTGCCATGGTTAAGAATTAAAGACAGCAACCACAGAGCTGCTGCAACAGTCAGGGAAACAGGGACTTGTAAGGAGGTGGCAACAACCCTTCTAGCCTCATTATGAATAATTAAACACACTTGGCTTGTTTACTTTAATAAAACTAAGCTGAAGAAGAGACATAATCGCCTGCTATAAATGCACTACAAAATGGCTAAACATAAGACGATAAAAAATAGCCTCAAAAATTTAGGTTAAAAGTTTTTAACCATCAAAAGAAAGTAATATTTGAATCAGCCTGTCAGTAAGAGTAATCAAGGCAAAAAAACCCAAAAAAACAAAACCCCAAAAAAACAGTTAAGAAGAAACTTGAAATGAATACATGGGATTATACACTGTGGTTAACCATAAGGGTAACAGAATGGGTTCAAGATTTCTTCTAGTCCTCTATGTGTAACACGTCCTGTTTCCTAGGGAATGAAAACCAATGACTGATTTTGAAAGAAACAAATTTCTATTCCAGAACCAAGCAGAAGTACCCTTTTGGAAGAAAAACTGTTGAAGCCAATGTTCCTTTCCAATTTAATCTATTTCCATAAGGAGCCTTAAGATGGAAAAAACTCCTCAGATTTAATTAATTGATTCAAGTCCATTCATTGAAATTAATTGAACTGTGGCTTTTTGTAGTGTTTCATGTGCTCATGAGAAGATTATATGCAGAATGAGGTGGGCTGTGAAACTGCTGGAAAATGCTGAAATACTCCCTTTTTGCAAAGATTGTCCTTTCTTAGAACTACTACACATGGCAAAACCTCCTCCTCTCTGGTTAAGTCTTCACTTGCACCATTAATCAGACTCATTCCGACACAATGAGACATGCTGATTATTTACAAATGGTCCAGTGTCTAGCCAGGATATTTGCTTCTGGAGAAGACCAGAAACAAGCAGATGTAGGATGTCTCCAAAACACACATACCTACCTCCACAGCAAGAAAAGCAGCAGAGAGATGGATACTAACTCTTTGGGGGGGACACAGTATTTTGTAAACTTATTTTGACAGTGCTATTTACAGGCCACTGTCATGACAGCCCCACGTGGTCTGACAAGTCAGCTTGTCAGAAACATCCCTCGCATTACTCCAGAAAGACCAACTGGTTAAATCCCTAAAGCTCAGGTAATGTGTAGGAGTTCATCACCAAATCACTCTCTGTGTCTCCAACTGTGTTTTCATTCATTACTGTGTTTTCATTTCATTACTACAGGTAAGCAATCAAATTTAAATACGTGGTATCAGCAGCTCCTACCTCTACCCCTTTTGGAAAGTCTCCTTCTCTTCCTTTGAGATCCTGAGCATTTACTGGTTTCTAAAGTAGAAAACAGAGTTTTGGAGCAACTGCCTAGTACTTCTGCTGGTGGAAACACATTCTTTCTATTCTTAGATGTTGATATATAGCCTTGCTTTGTGAAAAAAGTAAAGTGAAAAAAGTGAAGAAAGTGAAGCTCTGCTGAACAGACTCATTTAGGCAGGGAATTCAAAATCTGTGCTTTACGCTGAAAGACTACAATACACCTTTGTAGAAAGCCACATTTAAAAAGACAGAATAAAGGCAAGCCCAAATGTCAGGCCAAACAGGCCAATCCTGAAATTATTTTGGAGAAATTGAGTCACTTAAGCTTTCAATTTTTCATCCCATTTTTAGAGACAGATTTCCCCGCAGCTTCAGTTTCTTTACACAACCATGACAAAAAATTCAGCATCTTTCTATAATTCTACACTTGGCCATCTTAGCTTACAACAATGTAAGAAGAAAGAGTCCAGAGGAATTTACAGACCAAGACTGGTAAAACATCTTTACCTCCCTTGAAACTCAATTAGGAAGGCACAGGTTGCTCTATAAATTAACCAGTAAGGTTATGATCTGTCTCCTGGGAAGTACCAATTCAAAACTCATTTCCAGTTGTGCATGTTTCACACGCACAATTGGGATCCTTGTCAAGTGCAATGAGGCATCTCTTCAAGAAATTCCTACCAAAATAAATTACTGAAATCAAGAAGCTGGATGTAATCACTGCCCCTTTTCTTTTCCTTCCCCTTCTCTTTTACAGCCTTGTGCAGACAACCTACACCAAGGTGCCAAGGATATGAAGCTGCATCTTAAGCATATGATGTATAGAGAAACATTTGCTGTTTATCGACAATTGCGCATGCTTAACTGTGTTGCTGCATAAACCACTCTTCTTACAAGAATTACATGACACAGTTTTCCTAAAACTGACAAGTATGCAGTGCTACAATCTTTGCAGTTGACACTCTGGGAAAAGACAGCTACTTCAGCTTTCCACAAGGTGGCATGGTTCCCTTTGCTGAAAGAGAGCATTACTCTGAGGAAATTGTTTTTCCTCCCAAATGTACTGGCCACTATGATGAATAGGTTTAAATAGGCTTAAGATCTCTAAAATATCTCTAATGAGGTTTATTTTAACAAATCCTTCAAATAGCAAGTTTAATGAATTAAAAAAAGCTTCCTTCTCTTATGCTGAAATGAAAAAAAAGTATCTGTGCTCACTGCCACATGAAAGCAAGCTTCAATCAAATATAGTTAAAGCACAACATGCAGCAGAAGAGAGACTAAAGAGCTAAAGATCTGATTTTCCATGTCTCAGGTAATCAGTTTCAAATCCTATCAGACTTCTCTCAGCCTTGAAATATTTTGTGTAAAATGGGCTAGAAAGGAATCTACCTAACATACCCCTTCCCATCCATGGGAGAATTAAAGATCCCAGAGCATCTTCCACCAGTGAAGATTTTCCCTTCTGTTTCTGGACTACTTCCCTGCTGTTACCATCCCTGTAAGGTACAGCCATGCAGTAACTGCTTTTCCTGTGGCTGGGGCAGAGGGAGAGGCACTGAACAAGCAACACCAGTGCTGCTGAGCTTCACTCACTGGACCACACCATCGGTCATGGCTGACTCTGCTCACCATCCCCATCAGGCCATGACAGTCAGGAGGTAAGGTGTTTTGACTCAAGTGATTTAAAAAAAAAAAAATCAACAACCCAGACCAAACACATATAGTTCCTCCATTTTTTGCCTTGCTCCTCTCAGTTTTGATACCTGTTTAAGTGTCATCAGCCTAAACAGGAGAAACAAAACGAGCTGTGATACAGGAAAGAGGATAAACTTTTGGCACTGACCCATTTCACAGACACCGGTGGGTAACAATACCATAAATTTTGAAGTTTAAACAGAAAGCAACAAAGGGAAGGGACATGATGACATGCATTATTCATCCGCACAAATGCTGCCACAGTTCTCCATGCAGGAAAGGCTCCAAATTCTACCCGGTGCAAATCACCTGGTAAAGAGTCAGACACATCAAAATACTGCCTCCTTATAATTCTTTCCATACCATAAGGCTTATCATGAAAGGAACAGCTTTCTGGTTCTGTGCACTGGTACCTAATGCTCATCAGTCCTCCGACTCCATTTACTGTGCTCAGAATTTAGTGCTTGTCATTGTAATGAGCACAGCTGAAACCCTTGCTTTTTAGCTGTCAGCCTGCCAAGCAAAACACATCTGATTTAAACATCACAAGCCAAATAATCAAGATGACAAAGAAGTTTAAGTACCCTGATCAGTCTGTTTTCTCTCCTAAAATCTGTCATTAATGCTAGTATAATTATTAAATGTTACATACTGTCTTCCTGCATATAAGTAGCTTCTGATCCTGAGAATCACTGCAGGTGTATGGCACAGCCAAAACAAATAAATTACTTGGATTTCCAATTACAGAGATTCACATACATCCTTAAAAATGGATGCAAGCACAAGGCAAACTATCAACAAGACGAATCTGGGGATAATGTATACAAGCAGTCAAAACCTTCTGCTGCCTCTTTCTCCACAAAAATCTTACATTACAACAGTAAAGACTCTGATTTAATTATGTGCTTGTTCACATAATGATCTCATTTTTCTCTATGAATTTTATTCTCAAAGTAGGTTGCATTTTGTGTTCTAAAACATTAAGTTCCTTGATCTAAAAAGTGTTTGTATTAGCTCTGAGCTCAAGCAAGCACATAAACAAGAAAGAGTGCTTAAAAAAGGGGCACACTCAAGAATAAAGAGCAAATTCTGTCACTGAATGCCTCAGGAAGCTATCCAGCCATGACAGACAACAGAGCCCGCTCTCTCTCAGGACAGAAAACTCACTTAGTTGTGCAAGAGGTCAGTTATTACAGTTGGACAGTAGAATATTAAAGAGCAACATTCAATTTCCTGGCTTACGTGATTTTAAAATAAGTCACGCTTTCCTGACCAAGCTGAATTAACCTTTAAATCTGAAAATTCTTTTGATGAAATTAGTCTTGCACAGCCAATCTACATTGTGCAAAGAGGAGAAGTACTGATAATTTCCAAACTTAGGTGACATCTGCACCTCACAAGTCATGTGTACAATTGCAAATTTTTAACTGTTATCCCATTGTGGATCTTCTTACAGACCTTGGCTTCTGGATCACTGTTGATGCTACAAGAATCATCATCATCAGATTGTGGACCATTTCTGTTACGGGAGGGGAAAAAAAAAAGACAAAATTAATCTTAAAATCATATAAAAATTACAGCACAGCACAAAATGGAGCTGGTCATTCCATGAAGACTTCTGAAATCATTGTACCTGAGCTTCAAAGAGGCATAGCGTAACGTTGCTCCTTCAAACTCTTTCAGGCTTGGGTCTGGGTTCACAGTGGCTGCATGCAGATCCTAGAGATAAAAACAGTGCTATTAGCATAGTTTTAGGCACTACTAATATAGTATTAAGTACACCACCATGTTATTTCTTATTTCAAAGGGAAATTAAATCCTCCCTGCAAAGAAGCGATAGTATTTCTGGCTGAAGTTGAAAAAGAGGCATGCATATATTCTCAAGCTGCATTTCATTCACTGCAGGCATCTTATTCGTTACATCATGGCAGTTGCCCTGCTAGTTTAGACTGAATTCATTCCAAGTGGAAAGATCAGAAAAGGCAGCATGTTTGTGAGCTAGACATCCCTAGCAGTACCCCCATTCACTTTGGCCTAGGTTATGAATGACATTCATGGAAAAATAAAAAGGGAACAAAACAGCCACTGCCATGCAAAAAACAAAGGTAATAATATTAAAGGTTCTAAAATCTGACAATATACTTGCCTTCCAAATGTCACTATTAATCTTTCCCCCATTCAGTACAGCAAAATCACTCCATGGCTGTTTCTAGACACATAATTATTCACACAGGAAGAAGCACATTGATAAAAAAAAAAAAAAAAAAGGAAAAAAAAAAAAAAAGAAAAAAAAAAAAAAAAAGAAAAAAAAACACAAGACACTGTTGTTAGCATTGATATTTACAGGATGGGTTAGGGAACAGATCACCTCAAACTTTAACTAATTACTCCATATACCATGGCATTTGGAGGAAAGGGGAGGGAAAACATGCCTCTAACAGTTACTTACCAAAACAAATGATTGAAACAAGGAAAGTTAATATAAATTAGGAACAGACAATGAAGCTACTTTTTAACTATGATCTTAAAAGCAAGCAAAATGAACCTGAATATGAATGTTGGCCACAGCTGCTACAGCCTTTGATAAACAGCAATTAAGGGGAAACATTGGGATTTCCATTTGATTGGCGCTTTTGCTAAAAGACCCCAATACTATTGGAACTAGAAATGCTGAAACACAACTATATGTACACACGGATAAGGTATATACAAGGTAAAAACCAAATATTTTTAGAGACAGAGCATGAGAAAAGGACAGGGAAGGGAAGGAGGGTTAGTAAGGGGCACAGAGAGACTTCTTGCAGAAGAAAGTCTAGAGCTTTTTAAAACAGTGGATCAAAACAAAACCCAAACAAACCACTCTCTCATTTCCATTCAAGTGTCTCAGAATTTTCAGAGGTGTTCACTGGTACACTCAAACAAGTAGCAGTGCATTTAGCACTACAGCAACCTGAGGCTCATCCTTCTCTGTTAAGCCTGGGAGGAACAGCTGATGCTGTCTTCCTCTTCCCCATAAGGACAAAAATCCCAGAGTCCTAAACAAGAGCCAGGCGGGACAGGAGACTTGGTCATTGAGAGACCCAGAACCACCTCTTCATAGATTCACCAAATCAAACACTCCTGTATTTAGTAGCCCCTTTAAGACAAGCTCTCCCAGGATGTCCCGCTCAGCCCCAAGATGAAGGGATTCCTATTCATATGGCCCAACGCACTAATTTGCAGGGTGGACCTCTCACCTCAGAAATGTTCTCAGTACCTCTCACTAGAGGAATCATTTGTGAGGAACAACTCCTAAAATGCCTTTGAATTAATTGAGTTGCTATTTTTTCCTACTAAGCCCCTCTTCTTTGATTATTAGCTGCTGCTAGTTATGTTCCCTACATGAGAACTTCTACAGGTTATCCAGGCCTGAGTCATGCTGTAAGACAACACAACTACCATCACCGAATTCTGTCATGATCTTAAAGAAGCTCTTACTAAAAATTAAACCCTACATCTTTTTCTCCCCACAGGAAATGGGAAAGAGGCAGCAAAACCGCTAAAATGGGGAAGAGAATGTTCCAAAGGATGAGGATTCACAAAGAAGTCATCTGGCAACACAAGGAGGAAAGAGCCCTCCTGATTTTCTCTTCAACAATAGCAAGTGACAGCTTTTCTTTGTGCTAAACATCCAGAGTAAGCCACAACATCAAAATGGCTGACTTGATCTGTTCTTCGTTGGCTGATCTCACCTTTGAGCCACATTCTACCAAACGAAGCAAAGCTTCTGTACAGCACATCACTGAAGAGACAGGGACGCAAAATAAGAACTTAAATTAAAAATTAAAATAAAAAATTAAATAAAAAAAAGGAGGAAACAAGACGAAAGGTAAAAAGGCATTACTCAGGGTGGGGGGAAGGCATGTCTAAATGTTTATTTGACAAACTCAAAAGCTGGAAGAGCCCAAATAAACTCATCTCAAGACTAGCAAATGATGTTTCACAGACAGATGTGATAAAGATGGAAGTACTTTTTTTATGGACTCATGGAAGCCTACTGGAACAGATATGAAATGCTACTCAAGCCAGTCTTCAACACTAGATTATGCTCTTTCATCTGTCTAAGACCTATATATCCCTCAACCTTTTCAAAAGAAAGCAATACAAATTCCAGCACGTGGGAATGAGCTAAACCAGCCCTCCCAAGCCAGATTATCTCAGAGCACAGGCTTCCAACAGCAACGAGGGAACACAGCTCACACGTGCTCCAACTTGGAGCTGGAAGCTGTCCACCACAACTGCTGCTACCAATGACAGCGCCAGGATAAAGGCTTTTGGGAGTCCCTATTCTGGATTGGATTCCACATCTTTCGCAAAGTGTCAGATCGATCGTATCACAGACACCCAGATCAATCCTTCACAGGGAGGGAGAGGGGGAGCACTTGGAGTAGGCTGCAGCACAGTGAACAGGGGCTGCACCAGTATTGCAAGTGACATGGAGATGATCAGGTGCTGGCAATAAAGGAGATGATCAATGAAGGAGAGATGAAAAAAACAAAGATTCATGATAGCTGATACTGCTAAATCTAGATTACATTTCATTACTTACTCCTATCTCAAGCCCACACCATGGCTTATTTCCCTCTTACTGCTCTGTTACGTGTTTCTGCTCAGAGCCAGCTGAAATCCAAAGGATTTTTCCTCCAATTCCCTCTTAACAAAGCTCAACATGCGTGGTTTCAAGAAATGCAAGACCTTTCCTAACAGTTCCCACCGTAACTCCAGCTGTGCCCCTTCTTTGTAGCAGTTTCAGTACTTGGCAGCGCACAAAGTCCCGAGCCAAATTCACTCTCCCATTTTGAACTTCATTGCTCTAAGTCTGCTGGTACCATATTGCACTGCTATCCTAATCACCACGGAGTCAAAAAATCAGTATTGTGTCAATAATGGTATGTAAGATGCTTATCAGTGAATGCAGAAACCTTCAAGAGAACAAATGCCTTTGTCTATACCTACAATTAAAATAACCATATAATATACTAATACAAATTTTGGAAATCTGCTTATTTCCTGTACCATCTTTTACGCTACAGTATATGGTCTTGATGCTGCCACAGAACTGTATATGAATACATCTTCGCTGGATCAAATTCCTTGCTGAATTAGAACTGCCATATCAAAACCCAGATGAGCCTAAGTACTCACATACAACAGCATTTTAGAATGACTCACTCAAATGTCTTATTTAACACATCTACACTGTATTAAAACCTATGTGGTTATAATTCACACATTTCGTATTCTCCACGATGCTGCTGAGAATTAATGATCGTTATTTACAATCACAAACTATTCTTCATTTAAAGCCAACAAAATTGTGAATACATCTGGCACATTACCAGCAGATCTGACATTTTCATTGTAAAGACATTTTAAACAGAGGTAAAAAAGTATTTTACATGAATACAAGCATTTTCCCTCTGCAATGAGCAACCATACTGATTTCCAGGTTATTGCAAGGGATAACTTACTAATTAAAGCCCTATAATGCATATTTTATACTTTATGGTGAAATTATATCCCTCGTGTACATTGTGGGAAATTAGACTGGAAGCTCCCATTCAGCATTTCTGGATTTCTTGTCTTTTTTTCGACCTGATTCATAACAATTGCTGTTCTTTCTCCACAAACCCTTTCACAAAAACTTTCCAGCATGCTTGGTGTGCACAGTACATTCTACGGGAGCTTGACTGATGTTAACCACTACTGAAATGTTGTGGTCAAGTTTGTAAACCTTACAAGTAGCATTTAGGAATATGTGGGAGCAATCTTTCTAAAATAATGAACAAGAATGTACACATTTAAGCCTATAGAGGATAACAGTCTCAGGGTTGAGATGGTAATAATACTCAAATGTCCTTAACTCCTCTTAACTTTCATTTAAGTTATTCTGGTGCATATATCAACAAAATCAAGAACAGAAGAAATGTCATCTCTAAACACAGTTTAAATAAATAAATAAACCCCCCCTAAGGATTGCCTGATCCAAATCTCAAAACTAGTACAAGTCTTCCCTTGATGTCATAAAACTGTGGACTTTCTTGAAAGTTAGTATGAAAAAGAATTCGTTTCAAACCAATTTGATTTTATATTATTATTTCATCCCATAGAGGTTTTCCCAGCACAGTAAAACAAAGTGGTTGCATTATTTTTGAAGCGTATTCTTCTATCTGATAATTTATTTTATTTTTCTACTTATATGACACCAATCAACCCCCTCCATTGTGCCTGAAAGGATTATTTTAAAAGCAGGGCTCTTCCAAGTACATGTGGGAGAGAATGAATTTTTGCTTCTCGTTAAAAGACTGACTGCAACACAATGATCCACTCTTACAGATATTTTGTATTGGCAGGATATTAAGAGACTTACACTTGAGAATACTTTGTGTTTATTCAATAGAAACTACCCTGTAAAGGAACTAGTGTCTCAAATGAAGACTTGTATGTCTTCATGTGATACTTCTATCAAGTGAACCAAAAGCAAGATGACACAAAGTTCAGCCAAAAGACTGCAAGAATGTGTAAAACTTCTATGTATCCTGCATCCATATAATGCAGCAACACTTCAATGTGTGCTACAGAGCTGCAGTAGTTTCACATTCATCAGGCACTGGCTAATTTATCTGAGATATGTCTGCTTTCATCCTAAACATCCAAAGTTTAGGATGTTTCACAGGGCACAGCCATTGGAAAACGCACACACAAAATTGATACTTACGACGTACTATCAACAAATAGCTACACTTCAGGATATTACCAGGCCCCATACTCTAGAGCTCAGTTTAACCAACAGTTAAACCTGCAAATTCAGAAAGTTGTTTCAACTTCTTTACAGTATGCAGCCCACAAGAAGACACAGTATGTTACCTCAGTTTCTGGAGTAGGTGATGGAGTAATGGAACCAAGTGATCCTTCTCGTGAGCCCTGGAGATCTGTTGGGATGGACATGGGACGCTGCCATTGAGTTGTTCCTGTTGGTATGTGCCAGTAGTAGATCCCAGCAACATCATTGATTTTTTTCCAGCCAGGTGGTAAATCTGGGTCTGTCTGAAATGAATGATCACTCCATATATCTGCTGGGAACAGAAGGGGAAAAAAGAAAAAAAAAGAGAGATTTGATTTTACTAAGACACAAACCATTCTTCTTGCATCAGGGGCAGACCCATGGAAGTGATGCACAGCTGGTACTGCTATTGTGCAGTTCCTGTGTAAATGAACACTAAAAAGCCACACTGAATTCCTGAGGCTCAAAGCTCATAAAGCTCCTGGGTTTGAGTATTATTGCTATGATAATACGGAAAGCATGGCTTACTATAGAAATTTAAAGCATTATTCACAAAAAGACTGTATCCTTTTGTATTGGGGTTGGTTTACCTACCATGTGTATTATAGTAAACCACGACCTCCTCAAAGGCTATACTGTAAGACATTTCTTATATAATATTAATAAAGCAACAGGAGTAAGAAAAACAAAACTAAAATAAAAAGCGACTGTAGCTAAGTTGTATGAGAAAGCAGACACTGGGTTTCTTTAAGAAACTTGGTTTGATATTAGAACTTGTCTTTCTAC